CGAAAGGAAAGAGTACGGTAAGAGAAAGAAAGAAAAGTGTAAAAAACAAACAGGATGCAAACAGAAGCACGTACAGCCATATAGAAGTACGTGCTAGATGCTAAATAAAGGAACGCAGAAACAGGAAGGATATGTCAAACGGAAGAAATATGCACGCGCGCATAGGAAGGAGGCAGAGATCTCGTTTCACGGTGACTGACAATCGTTGAAAGTTCGAACGTGGCCAGCCGTGTATCTTGTGATGCGTACGTGACGAGAGACCAGGCACGTGGCAAGAGCCATAAAAAAAGTGGGGATCGTGGCCGGTGTAATTCACAGTCGAACATCAACCTTGGAGCGGGCGAAACTTTTTTTAGCCTCCGCCGTAATAAATCCGCCGCTAAGTGTTTTCACGTTTAAACTGCTAATGAACTTCGGGCGAAATGCGAACGATGCAAAAAAGAACCATGACGAAGTAACCTCAGTGATTCTTCTCCCCTGGACGAGAGGAACCGTTTGCGCATAGAAATCAATTCCGATATACGCTTTTTTATCGGCCGATAAAACAGTCACGATATTAATGGCGTCGTGTAGATATCTCTCTCTACGTAACGTTTACCGAGAACTGGTCGATGCTTCTACGTTACGTGATACGATATTTTATGTAGAGCATAAAAGTTGTATAGATTTTATCGTGAATAGAAACGGCCACTCAGAGTCGTGGTTAATCACCAGCTGATGTAATCGTAATTTATTCATGGTTAAACTAACCTAAACCTGTAAAAACATTGTAAAGAGATTTTCACGACGTGTGTGCTGCCTGGACGAACTAGGTTTTACGTTTATTTATTTATTCATTTATTTTCTTGTAGGTGGAAACTATTTGCAGTATCTGACACAACTGATCCTTACGATTAAAAAAAAGGAAGTATCAAAAAAAGAAAAAAGAGAAAAGTAACGTAGTTTCTTGGTAAATTAACTATTTTTCAATGATTAAATCCAACGATATTCTATTTAATTATTTTTTAACGATCCTACCTAGTTAAACTATTTATCAGGATATTTCTATATTTTAACGTATTTTTTTTTTTTTTTCACAGAAAATTACAGTCGAGTATCTGTATACAGATCAATGCTTCAGAATTGATCCCCATTTTCCTGGGGGCCAGCAACAGTTAGCACAAAGAGTAGTCTGTGTTGCAATTCGCTCGACGTAGTTCGTGCTGTAATTTATGATCCCTGAATATTGCCTTATGGCCCAACTTTTTACAATGTCTTGCCTTTAATATATACCGAGTTTCTTTCACCAACGGGCATCGTATTCCCTTCCGATACCGATTATGTGAACAATATCAATTTTTCGTGACAAGAACGCGTTCATTCGTTCGTTCGCATTATCGATATTATTCGTTATTCGGCAATAAACGTCGTATGCGTATAAAAAGAAATTTTATTTCTGTACAGTGTGTATAGCTTTTCTAGATAGTGTTTCAATGATCATCGGTTATGCTCGGAGGACAAAGTTCACCGAATAGATTAATTTTACGATCGGCCACGATGATTATATGCTATTTGTTGTCGCTTCTATTGCATCCTCGAGTGTATCTTCGACATGCGTCCGGTTGTTTGGCATCGCATTAGCGGTCGTTTCTATGCCATGTTCATTGCTGACTTCAAAGTGTTCCGACGCTCTTCATTCAACTTTCAGTGCACACGTAACGTAAATTATAATTTATTCTCGGAAATTTTTATTATTTATTTTTTCCTGTCTTCTCTAGATGCCGGGAGACGTTAATCTTTTTTGTCGTGCTTTCGAATCTCTGCCCGAGGCTTTGTTATGCTATTTGACAAACATGGCGGGGAATTTTATAGTGGAGATTACGCTCTCTATGGAAATTTTCTATGTCGTTTCTGACGCTTATCTTCTCTACGTTTTATCATTATTATTAATAACGTGAAGTAGGAATTCTAATTCCTACGCAATAAAGTATTAAATAAAGTTACATATAATGTACATAAGAACGATTGAAAATTAAATTTTTTCGTAGAAAAGTAATAGGTTAGTCGTTGATATGGCAGATGTTTACATTATCGGTTTGGATCAATATTTTTGAAATATTACATCTGTACAAGGTGTTCCATTTAAGTGCTACAAAGTTACAGTATATACAAGGACAATTGAAAATTGAAGGTTAGGTCAAGAATCAATGTAATGCAAAGACATAGATTTTTTCGTAGAAAACTAATAAATAAATCGTTAACATGGCAGATGTTTGCATTATCGATTGGGATCAATATTTTTGAATACTATACAGGGTGTTCCATTTAAGTAAAGCTATCTAAATATCTTTTCGAATTGTGATGATGCAAAAAATATTTTTTGCTTAACATGAATGGTAGATGCGCTGATGAGTATCTTTTTCACGTGAATATCTACGAATTTTATGATTCATCTGAAGATTCTGATTTTCAAAGGATACGGTCTATAATAGGTGCATTTGACGCTTCACGTTCGTAGCAACCTCGCCGATAAAATAATGTCTGTGCTTATTCCAGACCAATGCTCTACATACCTTAGTGTGTCTTGGCCTACTTTAATTGTATGTACTTAATGTAGAACGCCTCTGTGCGTGGCTCTCGAGATACCTGTTACTCCCACAGTATCAAGGATTTTGTAATCTTTCTTCAGCTCCAAGCTGATTAAGACGTTTTCCTACATTCGAACATTCTCCAATCACTCGTCGAACATATTCACATATTCATTAACCGTAAAAAATGTTGACCGATTCAATATGAAACGGGCACGAAGCTAATTAGAGGAAAGTATATTCAAGGTAATTCCAAATGCATATTGTATTTGGAATATAAACACAATTATAATGTACAATTATAAAATAGTAATTATAGTATAAAACTAAAATACAATAATTTAAAAATTATATAATTAAATTATAATACCTGAATTATAGGACCTGAACCTAATCTGAACTTAAAATATAACACCTGAAACCTGAACCTAACCTAAACTTAAAATATAATACCTGAATTATAGGACCTGAACCTAAACTTAAAATATAACAAAATTGAAATACTAATTGTAATATAATTAGTATTTTGTATAAACAATAATTTTAATTTATTTTAATTTATTATAAACAGTATTTATTATAAATAATAATTAATGAACAATTTATTTAAATAATTTGTTATAAATTATATTTGTAAGCACTAATAGTAGTAGTACTATTTACTAATAGCAGTTATACGTTTTTCATTTTCATAGTCATGTTGAATATTTAATAAATTTCGCAGACGATAATCAACCATTTTTATCACTCCAGTTCTTTTTTTTTTTTATTGAAATCGTAGCACGACGTTTCTTTCGAAGCTTTCGAGTCTCGCAGATTTATTAGCCTGAAATTCTATAAATTATCTCCGATAAATCTTGTAGTTTTGTTCGTTCGTCGAGGCGTGGAAATTATACCTTGTAACATGTGTATTTAAATCCAACGATAAATCTTTCCTTCCTGACTTAAGAGGCTAAACCAGAGCGTAATAACACTTGAATTATTTAGAGATGTGATAATTTACCAGATTTTTCTGAAAAAAAAAAAAAAAAAAAAAAAAAAAATTATATTTCATACGGATGTCCAAATAATAGTCCGAACAATAAGGATAATTATACATTCCCTGCCCTCAGAATCTGGAATTCCATAAATTACTGATGCAATTCACATTCGTATATTTCTTCCGCTGCATGATGATAGGAAACATATTCTCTATTTAATTGCACTCGCATCACGAACATCACGAACAATTAAAATCTATTTCAACAGGTTTATGCTTTTATATTTAAAGACGTCGGTCTGATATTTCGTCCGTTAATTCGAGGTGTCGTTTACAACGCACGATTTCTGATTGAAAAACGAGCCAGGAATTTTCGGAACCCGTCCTCGATCGAACGAGAGACCGTGTTGCGAAGCTTATCTTCACTTGCTCAACTAACCCACATTGAACGCTTTCTCTGACGTGCAAGTTTCAAGAATTGTAACTCGAGAAGGAAGCATTCGTGTGAAGCATCAAACCTAACCTATGCAACATTATTCATTTATTATCTTCTTCGATTTTCTTCTTCTTCTTCTTCTTTTTTTTCCGCTTCTGAAATACTGAATATTTTCAAACTGTAAACACAAGCGAAAGAATCGTCACCGTTCGAAATTGACGTGTTCAAGTCAATAGTGTTCCAGCTAACTGGATTGTATTACACGACGTGTGAAGAAATACAGATTTATTTCTGTTTTTTTTTTTTTTTGCAGTTGGCGGCATGAACCGGCCGTCCAAAGCTGTGACCCAGGCGAAGAAAGTGGCACCACCGGCTGTACCCGATGTATTTCGACATTCTGGCTCGTCGTTCGGTTCTGCTGGATATGCGAGCAGCGAGGATAGCTGTTTCCTGCCCGGAAGCGGGCCAGGCGGGACAACGGACGAGGGTTCTTACGGAGTGCCATCTGGAAAGAGTCCGGGGCCTATTTTTACCCACCCTGGCTTTGCCTTTCCACCAGTCGTCGGCAAATATGCTCATGCCGAGGATCAAGGTGCGATCCTTATCGAATTACCGTCGAATTATCAGATCCAGATGGTATCGCTACCACCATGCTCGCCGTTATGTCATTTCCTTTAACATTCTTGATCCACCATTCCTATCAAACTCTCTATCCTTGTGTTTACGTTGTTTGTTGATTTTTCTTGTTTTTTCTTTTTATTCCAGATCAGCGGTTCGCAACCTTTCCTTCTCTCCTGCTACCCCTCGATTAGGCTCCTCCTTTTTCTTTTTCTTTTTTTAATATTCTTAGATCAGTTGAAACGACTCAAATTAATCTAATGACTAGTTTGTTGGATTTTAAGATCAAAACAAGTGGAAACACCACAAGTTTCTCTTTGTAAATCAAAACTTTGTAACTTTGCTTTTGTGTTTTTATTTTTAACTCCTCTTTTGGTGTCCCCCAAGGGTACCAAATGTCCTAGATGATAATATAAAGATATGAAAATATTGAAACATCAATGATTTTGATCCATCATGAACGTTCCTTATTCGCATAAGTTTTTTTTTCTCGCTTTCAGTGCGAGATTTGTTGTCAGTTTCTTAACGCTGTGTTGAAAACATTGTGTAATACTTTATGCAAACTTGTTTATGCATATAAATACATAACAACCCGAAGATTAACATTCAATAATTGTCTCCAAACTTGAAGAGATTCTCAAGTGAGACAAATGTGCAATGCTGTTGTTTGAGGGATCAAACACTTTAATGAATTGTTATTTAAAAAAAGAAAAAGAGATTTCAAAAGTAACAGTAAGATTCGACACAATCACAAATTTAACTTCAAACTTCTCGAGCTGTAATCTGTTATGGTACTTAAGTAGAAGTTGAAAGAAGTAGAGAACTAATTTTTATATACGTGTTATATTCTTTTAGGAATCGATATGACTCAAAGTCCCGGAAGAGATAGCCCAGGTAGTTCAGGATCAGGCTCCGGTTCGAGGCATTCTACCGCTTCATTAGATTCTGGGAGAGCCTCCGGGTATCATTTGGGCCCTAGAGGACCTGGTGCTCTTGCTTCGTCTCCCAGGTGTTCTATAAGCTCACTTGGCAGCCATCCCGACAGACCGGCGGATCTCGACGTCGTTCACGCTTGGTTGACTGAACTCCAATTCGAGGAATACTTGCCATTGTTTGCTTCCGCTGGCTATGATCTAGCTACAATAACGCGCATGACGCCAGAAGATTTGACAGCAATAGGTAAATCTGAATCTCAAACAAATCTCAAGCAAATGTTTAAAATATTCATTGATCATTGGTAATTTAAATTTACATATATGAAATTAAGAAACGGCACATTTTTTTTAATGTCTCAATATCATTGAACTATAGAATTCTACGCATTTGAAAATTAGCAGTGATGAGATTAAATTTAAATCTTTGTTTTCTTGAAGATTGCCATTTTCAAGTTTTCTTCTTTTCAAACAATTCATCATTGTGATATATATTATCATGAGTCACAATGATGCACTGAGCTATGATTATTTTGAATATGCTACTTATTGAGTTTTGTAATATTTCAATTATCCATTCAGTATCTTCTAAAATTTGTATTTAAAGCTCTATGAATTTGCAGGAATTAAGAAGCCTAATCATCGGAAACGCTTGAAAGCGGAAATAGATAATTTAAACATTGGAGATGGCTTGCCAGAGCATATTCCTGGCTCGTTAGAAGAGTGGCTTCGGCTTCTGCGACTTGAAGAATATCTCGGTGCTCTTCATCAACAGGGTATGCGTTCAGTTGAAGATGTAACGACTCTCACTTGGGAAGATCTCGAAGACATTGGCATCGTGCGTCTTGGTCATCAGAAAAAATTATTGTTAGCAATTAAAAGAGTTAAGGATATTCGTGCTGGCAAGCGTATACAGCCGCTCGATCTTGCTCGGCTACCGCCGCATCCTGGACAAACACAGGTGAAGAAACGTTTCATACAATGTAAAGTTATGAATTTTCAAGTTGGAAAAGTTTCTAATGCAAGTGCAAAATTTAACGCTCAGTTCTTTTTCTTATTTTTATCCGCGTAAGAATCATACTTCAGCTCTTATTTAATATTAATATAAATATTTAATATATTTTTTTATTTGTAAATTTACGACCTAAGGGACCTAGACGATTAAAATGTTTGTTTTGTTTTTTTTTAGTGAATACTATGTATCTTCAGCATTTGTAATCCCCCCCTACGTATGACTGGCTAAATTTAATTTTTCCAAACTGTATTTTCAGGACGTAGTTATTCAGCGAGGAGGTCCCGATTTGCCATCTCCCGACGAGGATTGTTCCTCGCCTGTTTTGAGATCTTTTCAGAGAGGAGGAAGTGATACCACATCTGGAGGCGCATGGAGAAGTATGTACGCTGCTTTACCAGCCGATTACAACATTGTTGGTCGGGCTGGTTCACGAGGAAAGTCATTAGAAAGCTTGGAAGATGCACCCCTTGGGTATCCTCCGTCACCAGCACCTTCTACGCATCCACAGCCAGTCGAATGGCGTCCACGTAGCTTTGAAGACGGTGATCTGACTCCTACAAATGATACTTCCATAGTGGATGCAGGTGGTGGAACTCTTCCACGACCAAGACATTGTCTTGTTCGTCCACGACCTGTAGCTAAGGTAATATATCGTAAACTACATAATTGGGATAAAATATGTTGAGATAACGAAGACACGAAGAATCGCGTAATCCTTGATTACAGGTCACTGCAACTCCAGGGCAGTTCAAGTCACTACCGAGAGACTTCGATAACAAGTATCAATTAACTTACGGACTCGAAAGTAGTCCACATCTTCCAAAACGTTGCCCTCCGTCTCCTCCGAGGCGTCAAAGCTCTAGAGATAATAGCGGTTCTGGAGTAGGAGTCGGAGGATCGGGAGTTGGCGATGTTGTGATAGATTGCAGCGGACCAGTTCCAACTGCTTCTTGCGAGGAGCATCATATACATCATCATCAGCATCATCACTTGATTCATCATCCGTCTCCGCCACCACCAGCACCTGCACCAGTGCCATCAACTCCACCGCAAATAAACCGACCACCCTCTTCTATGTCTCGTTCTTGGGGCAGTGTCAGTGTCAATGTTAACGAAGAACATGAATTAATAGCTTCTCTTGCTCTGCAGCACCGTAACGGTTCTGATGCCAGTTTTAAGGTAATTTTATATCATTTCTATTTTGTACGATAATAGTATATTGTCCTAAATATAATAATATATTGTCTATGTAGTGATATGATATAATAATATATTGTCAGACTTAATCCTAAATCTGACATAATTCCTGAATTATGTATATTGGTTATTAAATTGATCGTACACGTTTGTTAGAGTAAATATTAACAAAGAATTATATATTAATATCATTCGTATGTTTGCAGTCAAGTTCCAGTACAGAATCCGACTCACTACCATTTGCAAATGAAAATGCCGGAACAATAAAACAAAGAGCTGCACGCGCACAGGAATACGCAAGCGGTAATACTGGCAACAATATGTCAAGTCATGGAATGAGCCATCATACTGGTGGGAGCGAACCAGCGGATGTATTGAACGACATTGGGAATATGCTTGCAAACCTTACTGATGAACTTGATGCCATGCTCGAGGAAGAAAAGCGTCAAGGCTTGAATTCATAATCATTGCTACCTTGCGTTTGCGTCTGTTGTCATTTTTTCTTTCTCTTGATTTTTTTTTAATTACTAGTGCTACCACGAAAAATGCGACTTTAGTAACAAAAATCAATGACGAAAACATAGATTTCTCACGCTATGACGTATAATATCGTAGATCATGAGCGCATACAGTTTGCAAGATTAAATAGACAAAGTCGTATGAATTTGATGAATTGTAACTTGATACATCGCAATGATCTTATTGAAAGGAAAGAATGTTCGGTGTTGGACGAATGTTAAACTACGTGTTGGCTTACAACATAAGTTATATTACATAAACAATAATATCCTGTTATAATTGTATAAGTTAACGTAGTGGATTGTATTCTTCCACGGTATAATTTTAACTTTTATCTGTTTCTTCATTCCTTATTTCTCTTTTTATAGGACAAAGCTTCTTATTTTTCTATCAAAATATTATGAGCTTTTCACGAAGTTTCCAGAGACACCTGAATGTTGCACAATTTTCGCGATTTTTACATTTCTCTTTACAGTATTTTTATTCTGTACATTCAAAGAAAATTTTTTTTTAATACATTATATTCTGACATTTGATATTGCAGATTTTTGAACTTGCACTTTTAAATCAAATTTATACGAAGAAAAAAAAATAAAGTTATACAAAGATAGTTGTATGAGAAAAAGTATGCTAAAATAAAATTGCACTTAATAAATAAGGACAATGAATATTTATGCCTTATGATAAGAAGACTGCGAAATACATCAGTGTAGTCTAATTTTCAACACACACTTCATGGTACGCATTTTACATTCACATAGCATAAAGACTGATTCTCTTTCTCTGGAAACTTCATCGCTACCAACATATGTACATTCCAGCTAGTATATTTCCTTTTCCACTTCCGTCCTTTGCTAAAACGATAGCATGTTAGATTGGGACCTTCATAACTGTTGGAACTGTTAGACATTTTGAGATTAGTATGATACAAAGAAGTAAATTTCTGGGTTGAACTTTACCGTCGAACCTTCAAGCTTTTAGCACATTTGACGTGCTAAATACAAATACATCCGTTTTTGACTGTTTTTACTTATTTATTCATTTTGAATCTCGCTATAGGAATGAATCTCTTTCACGTGTCGTGTCCATTTCCTGAAGCGTTTTCATCTTTGGTTTATAGAGTATCATTTTGAGTCTAATATCAATTCTGAGAACGCCGGGGATTTTCTTTTTAATTATTGGCAGAACTATCGATATTGGTTTGGGTTAGATAAATTCCCGGCTAGCAATACTTATCCTTGTTGCTCTGTATTTAGAATGTGCATGAACTATGTAATAAATTACATTCATAAAAATTCTTGTGAATATCTCGGAAACAAGTAATTTCCATCAAAAACGGGGTTATAATCGTATTCAACACGTTGAAACAAACAGGATGATGTAAAATATGTATTAAAAGTTTGGGGAACAACGTTGAAGTTCTACCAACTTCTGTATCTCTTTTCCAGAGTAAAATAATTCTTCCAGTAACGTCAAAGAAAAATATTATTGAGTCGTGTTGATTTGATAATGAAGCATAATTATATCTTTGACTATATTATGGTACAATTTCTATAAGAGTTTACGAATAGTTTGTATGAAAAAAATTTACATCTTCCATTATTTGAACTTGAGAAGAGGTTCTCGTAAGACTGAGAACAAAATCAACATAAACATTTGACTGCCAATTAAATTTCAAGATTATACAGTTTAAATACAGAATCATATGCACTGTATGCCAATTAACATTTTATATTTATTATCCGTACTAATATAGTGATGTATGTGTAACTCACTATTGTTATATGGTGCACAAAAACATGTGGAGTGCAAAATATCCACGTGTATCAAATCAAAGTAATCGTCGTAGTGAAATCTTGTCGATAAAAAGTGTTCAGGTTTACTCGAAATTTAAGTATACTGATAGATTTGTGCATACAATTTTACAGTCCTCATACGTAGGATGAGTTGTACAATTGATTCAAGTTATATCTTGCATTTGATTGTATGACTTATCTTGTGCATGCATATACACGTACATATTTATATATGATAATTCCACGTTCTTCATCAATTCATGTATGATATATTTCTTAAATTTCAAGTATTTTAAAGTCTGCGATCTTATTTAAAACTTGTTACATTGTAATACATTGTAAATCATTGTTCACATATCAGTAATTTTACCAAGTAAAAATTGAATTAAAATTTTAAAGATGTTTTTAATTTATATAAATGGAACTTGGAACTTTCATATATAAATAGCTACAGTTTCAATATGACGTTATTATTAATGAAATACTCCTTACTTTACATTCTTTAAGGAGTACAAATTGCTTTGTTTCTATACAAATCAGTTTCGCAAGTGAAGATAAATTAATTGCAATGAATTCAATGACTCTGTCATCGTTTTAATATATTTTATTTTTAACTTTAACATACAATTTGTTATACATATTCAAATACAGTTATGCTCTATCATTACAGGAAAAGAAAATGTGGTAGGATATATACAAGATCTTCAAATACACTTAAAACCTAGGTTAATCAATTAAACATTGGGGCTACATTATTGTAGCCTGCAGACTTGTTAACTACTGTAGGTATATAGTAGGTATACATATATCAGTTTAAGCAGTGTACTTAGGGAAACTGTTTTGCGGTGCTGCAAATTTATCAATTTATTATTATTTACTTTTATTCTTTATTATTACTGTATACATTGTAGAACTGGTTTTTTAAGTCGTATATATGAATAACGAAAGATGGCACAAACTCTTAATACATTTGTATTTAATACAAATGTTTAATTCGCTGCTTAGTTTGGTTGAAACATTTTAGATATTTTATTAATTATTAGAAATGTTTTTGCACAAGTTTTTTCTACAAGTGTAATCATTTGTGCTACTCTATATGTACATCTAAAGGAAGAACCTTTTTTAATCTTCCAAAGATTAATCGTGATCCAATAATTTGTTTTATCTATGATTAATCGTTTTAAATTTTTTACTTTATCGACACCAAAATTTTAACATTGAAATTATAAATTGATTGCAAAATCGTAGTCCGTGATCGTGTAAAATAAGAAATATATCACTTTACTTGAAAAAATTACTTTTACAATGATAATTAACATAAAATGGTAAAAGCTAAATAATATCACGATGCAGGTATTGAACTAGATTAAATATTAATTTGACCAGAAATGAAGTAACTAGTAAATGTTAGTAGAAAGTGAAACATTTTACAATTGTGCGATCGTGTGATCAATTAACAATAGTTGTTTCTACGATACATAAATTGACAAATACAATAGAAGGTAATACACACACTGCCGACTTTTATACTGTAATTCAATTCCATAGAATCAAAAAATAAATATAAAAAGGAAAAAACTTTTAGATATTTTATAATTCACGTATAAAAGAAACACTCGAAGAATTAAATTTATTTAATATTTATTTATTTCTAAATTGTAAAATAATATGTTTAAAAATTATTTTAAGTGAAACGTTATAAACGTTTAATTGTCATATGGAAGATATTGTAGAATAACGTATGAAACGATGTTCATTTAAACAAAAGTATTATTTTAATTTTGAGCATCAGTATAAGTAAAAAAAGAATATATATATATATACATAAATCAGACGCTACCGATGTGTTTACTTAATAATAATTCAAGCGATAAAATTGAGAAACTATTGTATGTATTAGACTATGCTTCAAAGCAGTTCATGGCATTTCTAAAATAAATGAAATGTATACCATCTGCTGTTCTAAGGCGATTCTCTTTTCATTTCTACAGATAGCTGATAGTAATTGATGAAATGTACTAAAAAAGAATTCAATGATTGGCAGCTAATTCAGAATTCCTGAAGACATTGCTTCTACATGGTGTATACATATTATACATATATAAATATTATATAAATATAAATGATATAAAGGTATAAATATAAATATAGGTATATAAATTATATTTGTATTTATATTTGTACCGAATTAGTCATAGTTTTTGTACAAACGTATGCGTCGCTGCAGTTTTGTTCAGCGAATTTAATACCCGCCTAATTGCATTTTACGAGTCCTCGGGACCTCCTCCTACTTTCTGTATTTGTTTAAATGCACGTTGAATACATTAATTGATTTATCAAATATGACGAGGGAGATAATTAAATAAAACTAATTGACAGAGACTCCGTTCTTATTGTTTTTTTAGTATATACCCGAGATAAGCTGTTAATCATCCTGTGAGAATTATTCTCATTATCTAAGAGAATAGAGATTCTCATATTTTTATTGTAACATAAAGCAGGATACATCATGGGTCATCCTTATCATACATATATTATTTCACAGACGATCAGGAAGAAAAGGAGTAGACTATATAGGAAATAATAAATATCGTTTGACCTTTTCTTTTCTTATCATAGAATATGATTTTATAATTCTTAATCTTCTATAAAGCATAAGTTTTGATTGATTTATCTTTTAGTTAGTAAAGGAAATATCGTTTCATTGTGATGCTATGAAAAATCAAATATTTTCTGCTGTGGAAAATTTGATTCTAAGCAAGATAGATAGTAATATAATTTTTATGAACTAAGAGCTAAGTAATGTTACTTATAAGAGAGAGCGAAAGCGAGAGAGAGAGAGAGAGAGA